CAATCTTCAATATCAGTACGGACTAGGGTATGAATGGATTGAGAGCAGCCCTGCAGAGAACATGGGGTCACTGGTGTATGAAAAATGAGCTGGCAACATGTGCCTGCAGCCCAGAAAGACAGTTGTCTTCTAGCTGTGTAAAAAAAAAGTGTGGCCAGCAGGTCAAAGGAGGTAATTCCCCCCCTCTATTCTGTGAAACCTCACCTGGAGTACTGTGTCCAGCTCTGAGGTCCCCAGTTCAAGAAAGTTGTGGGCCTGTTGGAGGAGGATCCACAAAAATGATCAGAGGGCTGGAACACCTCTCCTAGGAAGATAGGCTGAGAGATTTGCAATTGTTCAGCCTGGAGAAGAGAAGGCTCCAAGGAGACCTTTGTAAGGCCTTTCAATATATAAAGGGGGCTTATAAGAAAGAGGGAGACTTTTTACCAAGGCCTATAGTGACAGAACAAGGCACAATGTTTTTAAACTGAAAAAGGGTTGATTTAGAATATAAGGAAGAAAGTTTTTACAATGAAGGTGGTGAGGCACTGGAACAGGTTGCCCAGAGAAGTTGTGGATGCCGCCTCCCTGGAAGTGTTCGAGGCCACGTTGGATGAGGCTCTGAGCAGCCTCGTCTAGTGAAAGATATTGCTGCCCGTGGCAGAGGGGTTAGACTGAATGATCTTTAAAGATCCCTTCTGACACAAATCGTTCTGTGATTCTATGATACTGCAACTGAACTACATGCTCTGTGCCTCAGCATGAGAAGGAGACACAAAGTGACACAGTGCTGAGAAAACAGTGACTGCTAGCCACTGAAACATTGCACAGAAAAAAAAAATAAAAAGACAAATAAAGAAAATGGGTGACAGCTGTGTGACATTTTTGCACAGGGATGGGAAAGGAAGCATTTGAATTAAATTCTGGTGTTCTCTGCTTTTCACACTCAGGTCCAGACAAACCCACTAATGCCCTCAGGGGAACCTTCACTGAGGGTAAACTCTGACTATGCTGCTTTTGGAGCAGCTGTCAGAACTGTACAAACCAAATGCCCAGGGAGGCTGACGTGACACTAGTTTCAGACTGGATCATCACATTGCTAGAATAGTATTATTAGACTGGGAATGCTGAACACTCTGTTGGCTGTCTTTGCTGCAAAGCATGAAACTAAAAATACATTTACCCCTTGTAATGTTGAAGAAAAAGACCCTCAGTAAGAGTATATATGCAGCTGTTGGTAATTGCAATCCATTGTTGTTTGGACAAGGTCATGTGTTGTGTTTTAAGTGATGTTTGAATACTATTCTGATACTTGAACAGTTCTTTAGAAGCTGCAACGTCCATACAATGCACATCTTAATACCTGTGACTAAATCATAAAAGACAAACGTAACAGCATAAAAGTCAACAATAAGCTACAAGAATATTTTTATTGAGACACAAAAGCTTGGCTATACAAACTCAGACAGTCACAATAGCAGTTTCTCCTGAGCATGCAAGGTGTCAAATACAAGCTACTGTTTTGCACTTCATCCTGAAGACTAGTGCTCAGTTTTTACAAACGGCATAGCCCCACTGACATCAGTAGATGAATCTCTAGTCCTATCACTTTCAAGCAGTTCAGGATTGTTAAAGAACTAAAAACTAGAAAAATATTTGTAGTAAATAGCTTATCTTTTCACTGTGTACAGAAGACAAACACATGGTATATTTGAGACCAAACTGAGCAAAAGTTAAGAGAATCCTATATAATAAAAAACTAATGGTTACATTCATCACTCTCTAAGATTGAAAAGATAATGTGCAGTTTCACTAATGAGTTGTAAACAAATGGATCTTTTCTAGATCAGGAGCTGGTAACTGATATTTCAGCACAGACAAGACAAGTCAAGAATTTTTACTCTTTATAGATCCACTTGACTTGAATCAAAAGTAGAATGTAAATAATTATTCTGAAGTTTATTGATATATTTAAAAGGTGTGTATATTACCTCTAAGACTGATCAGTACGACCTTTTGCGAAATGTAGAAGTCTTTTATTCGGTAATCTTATCAGTTAAAGAAATTGGATTAGGGGGATAGACAAGCAGCTTGCAAATGCTATTCAGTATCAAAAAATCAGTACCTAAATGCTACAGCTACTAAGATTATTTGTGCATTCAGGTTAATGGCCAGTTTCCACTAGGAGCTATTTATAATGGTGTCCGCTGAGCTTGTTCACTGTAAGTCACTGAATTGCATGTAACCCAGACGAAGCAGACTCTATTGCTGTGTAGGAGGAGTGCATGCAGCAATCAGAACCAAGAGGTGGCAGGGACAAATTACCACACCACTTTACTCTCCACCTTCTAACACGCTCACTTAAGTGGAGGTCTGGGGCAGCAGAGTGAATAAAAGCACACACTGCAGGAAAGAGTCCTGCAGGAGATGCTTAAAGTGTAGAAAATATTTTGTTCCAGTTTATCCATCTGAACAGACTGTTGTTCAACCCAATGGAGCATGTAAACTAAACCTTTTCTGCTGCACTAACGGTAGGGTCTTGTAGCCAGGCAAAATTCAGCTCAGATTTACAGTCCTGCTGCAACTGGAGTACTCTCACTTATGTGGGCAGCACACTCTGTGGCTTGACTGCATAATCCTTTTGGTCTAATTAAACAGAATACATATGTACCCATTAACTTATCTAGACAAACATGGGCTACCAGCTGTAAAAATACTTAAATAATTTCTTCTTTTTTTGTCTTTTTTTTTTTTTTTTTTTTACTGAGTCCTTATTGATTAAAGAATTTACAATCAAATCTCAAAATTCATGCTGAAGAACACTCTGAGTATGTTAAGCCTCAGATTCATGGTGCCTTTTCTTTACTTCGTGGCAAATCCAGCACTTGCTCTTCAGCTTCTGTATGCTTAAGGCGTTGTACAATTACCTCTTCAACATTGCGGCAGCTCAAAGTTTCAGCCTCACCTTAAGTAAATAGTGAATTACAAACTGAAAAGGAGATCTCCTTACTTCCTGGAATATTTATAGAAATATGCAGCTTGTCAAAAATAATGGCACAAGTGATGCTAAAATGGGCACATAGCTACATAACATAACTTTAAAGTCTTCCTTTTTTCACTTCTATTTCATCCAAGATAAAAAAGAAACCCTGCCCAATTCATCAATCTAGAGCTGCTGCAGTCACAAATATTTATTAGGACACCAGGGAAGAGCTAGATTGCTAAAAACAAAACCAAAACAGACCCACAACAACAACAAAAAAAAAAAAAGCCACAAAAAAACATGCAAACAAACAAAGAGGGGGGATAGAAGCCTTTTATATGCAACATTAATTTGGAAGAGTCAGTGTTTCAACCAGTCATAACCACTATTGTGAAGTGTAACAAAAGTCAAATGTTGAGTGAAGACAAGCTTCAGTTTTCCACATGATGAGATATGATCCAACTAGAAAAAAGAGAAAACAAACTAATCATGATTGAGAAAGGTAATCAACAACCTTCCAAAGAAATTAAATACATAGGAAAGAAGAGCTGAATAGTTCCAGCATCAAAAAGAAGCCATTAACTGAGACTCCAATATGATGTAGAAGTGTTCTGAGCCTGACAGTTTTTTATGCTACAACCTCACTGCACAGCTCCAGAATTTCCATTACTGTCAAGTATTCCAATCACCCATGACCACTCCTGAGAGCAGAATGATGAATGCAAACAAGCCATTCTTCTCTCTGTGAAGAGACTCAGAGTCTTCATATATAGGTTTTGATTTAATGGACCTAGATATGCCCTTTATGAGGGATTAGGGCTCCCTAGTGGGACCTGGATCAGTGATGGAAATTTACAGCTGCTGGAGCTCCAGGTACCTTCCCTTCAGGCTCCCAAGAGGCACCCCTGCCCAGCTTTTGAGAAGCAGTGAGAGCATCACCCTCACCTTTAGCAGTCTCCTAGGAGCTGCCCATAAGTGACTACAGAGGGTGGTCTCCATTATGTAAGAGTTGGGGAAACAGAGCTAATAGCAGCTCTTCAAGACTTTACAAGCAGATAGCTGGCATACAGTCTTCCTTTGTCCTTCCTTTGTGATATATATTGTTATTATATTTACTGAAGTAAACTAAATTATCTGCAAATACCATCATGATGAGTCTAGTGAATTTACTGTGGTCATGGCAGCTGCATTGTCTCGTATGAGGCCTCTATCAGGAAAGAGTTACTAACGCCGGTAACAACGTCAAATAAGCCAGTTCCCAGGAACAGAATTTGACCAGAACCTCAGTAAACATCCTTCAGTTATGAAGCAACATTAGGTGGTTTTCAGCAGGCCAGCTTTCTCACCTATCTTTCCTCTTCTTAAAGGGACAAACATACAAATAGTCAGCAGCTAGAACATATTTATTTTACAGAAAAATTGCTGAATCCTATGGTATTCTGGAAAAGTGTTAAATGTCCAATTTGCAGAGGCAGAACGTGTGGCAATGGTTAACACTCCTCAGAGCTGTCCTTTCAGACTCTCTGCAGGCACTTGTAAGCACTGCTTATACATACCAATATTTCACATCCTTCACGTCTAATATCCCATTATTTTCTAGAAAAACACCCCTTAAAAAAAAAAAAGTTAAACACAAGCTTTTGTAGGAAAGGGATAACTTCTGAAGCAAATTAACTTTGAAGCAGATTTATAAATAGGATGTAAATTTTCTTTCCTTCATTGTACTCAAAAGCGATATGCTTTGTGTGGAAATAATTATTGGTGTGTCATTTATTCTGACTGAGACAAAGCCATGACGGAAGATGGAGAAGACTGTCTTCTTCATCTGTAGTCTGTGGTATTTGAAAACAGGGAAGAATAGTAAGCATTTCATTCTTGCTTCTAAGACCTTCACCAGCAGCAAACAGAACAAAAGGTTCAAATACCCTTAAAGAGAGATCACTCATCTGCAGGTATCTAACTATTTCAGAAAGAGATAAACAGCTAAAGAAAGCAAATGATTATAATTTGGTACTTACATCTGGTAATGGGGCAATTGCTAATCATAGAACACCTGGTAGCTGAAGTTGGCAGACTTGATTCTGAAGCTGTATCTTCCCAGCTTTCGCTGGTACTGGAAAATGAGAAGGCCCACAACTCCCAGCACAAAAACAAACACAGCAAAGACAATGAGGACGATGTATCCAACTCCTATCCCAGACTCCTTCTCTCTCTTCAAATCAGATGCTAAAAAAAAAAGATGAGAAATTAAAAAAAAGCTTTGAAATTCTTAAACCTTTTCCTGGGATAAGAGAAGAGCCTCATCTACAAATTTGCCAACACACATATTGAAGTGCAGAGCTGTGATATAGAAGTGAATCAGCCTTTTAGGGAAGATGTTTCTCATGGAAAGGTCTGTGAGCCACAGTCCAAGTTATCTTTTTACATATAAGTGTAGAATCCCTGCACATACTACTATGATGTATCTTTGGAATTCAACTACAATTTTCTTTTAAAATAAGAATTAAAGAATCACCACTGGTGACTTTTTGAAATGATGCCATACTTTCATAATGACCCTACAGGAGAAGCATCCTCCCATGTTAACCCTGCCCTTATTTATCTATCATTATTAAAAACCACTTGATTTGCTTTTATTTCATATGTAACACTCCTTAAACACAGTATTTAGGGAAGGATTCTCTGTGTGGGCTGGGTCTCTAAGCTCCCATTCTAGTCAGCAGAGATCTGGCTGGGACGGTCATTAAAGGCAGGTGAGTTCACTCTGAAGTGGTCACCATGGGCTCAACTCTGTAGCCTGAGCATAGGCATCTAGTGCTACCTGAGAGCCCAAGGGTGTTTATAATGTCTGCACTGTTTTGGCAGACGTGGCACGGGACCAGCAGGAGACCTACAGCCTTTTGTAATAGCACCCAGACATTGAGGAGAAGGAAACAAGGGGACATGTTGGGTCATGAGCAGTAAATGCCTATGTGTGGGCAAGAGTCAAGTCCCTTGTGGCCAGCTGTCTCCCTAGGCTCCACTGATCATCAACAGAATGTGTTTGCCTGGTTCATATGTAGGCACTTGAATGTGCTTGTCCAAATCTGCAAGCAGAATCCCCTCTCCAGTTAACAATATAGCTCTATTCGTATTTGTACATGTACTCTTGCACATTTCTAATTCATTCTTCTAAATGCCTGATGCACCTGTAGAAACATCTGTTTGTCTCCACACATTTTCAGGACAGCATTTATTTAGCCAAGCACTCGTGCAGTACCTGAGGTGCACTAAAGACAAATACCAATACATACATGCCTGTAATTAGAGACAAGATCTTTGGCCAAAGGGCACTGTTGGCAGCCACAGAGGAATGCAGTAGTGATGTTCAGGCTATGGAACATCCAGGGCATTATTCCAGTACAAGCCAAAGCAGTGTTACATAACATATTTAGGCTTATTTCTGAATTTCAGTGTGAAACAAAGAAATAAAAAAGAAGATGCACAGTGGAAGTGACAGCCTGTAGCCAGACACAGACAGAACAGGCCTTCCTGAGGACATGCATCAGTGGTCTTTGCTATAGCATGTGGTCAAGAAGTTTAGGCAGAGCAGTTAACACTTTTTTCATGTTTCACCGCAGCAGTTTACCTGACATCACAATTAATGTTGTCTCCCTCAACACAGAGTTGTGTATCACTGTCTAGGTGATAGTACCTGAGTGATCCCCTCCCCCCCGCTTAAAATCCAAAGTGACTATCCAAATTTGAAATAGGAGACAACATCTAGTACTGTCACCTTTGCCTAGGAACTGGTATAGTACAACCCAAGTAAAGCTCCCATAACCAGTGTTCCTTTTCTGCAGTGGTTGTTTTTCAGTATTAGAAATGCATTTGGGTCTCCAGTGAAAATGGGAGTGACATCTGCTTGATGTAAATGCTGTACAAAGAAAGCTGTATTAATCGCTAAGTTTGAAAAAAGAGACCCATTCAGAAATGATCAGTGAAGGCCTATTCTAACAGACTAGTACTTGTGTATAATGGAAGAAAAATACATATGCTAAGACAGAGCCAGTTTCTAGCTCTGAAAGAACATTGTGATTGTCACAGCAGAAGAGAAAAAAACACCCTGAACCCACTAAGAGTCCAGCAGAACTTTAAGTGACTGGAAAAAAACAGGCAACCAGCAGGAAGAAAGGAGATGACTTCTGTCTATTCACAGCAGCCATGTGTTAAAACTCTGATACTGTCATCTACAAATACTCTCAATGGGTGTTTTACACTAATAAGATACAAATGCAAATGGCTGGAGCAGGCCAAATGACTGCAAATGTTAGAGGTCACAGGTGCCCTTGGAAACACCACTGGGGGTAAACGCAGCAGAGGCAAGTACACAATGAATTACTCCTTGCTTGTATATGGTGTTGGTGTTCCCTCTCTGTTAAACTGTACTGTACCACTCCCCCAGATTAAAGAAGGTGTCGTGCACCAGCTGTGCTCTGCCACTTTCCCTCACAGCAGCAATGAAGTCAGTATCAGAGAGTATCAGGCAGCACAATGCAATCTCTTATCTCCTCTGATTCTGAGCTTCAGAGCTCAATATAACTGCAGTCTAACTACCATGCAGAGCAAACATTTGTAAAACCGATTGCAATCTAAAAGATTCAAACTGCTTTCACACTACAGTTGTAATAACTGTTTGATTTTGCTGCTGTTGTACTTGCTACCCTGTACAATTAGCTATGTGAAGCACTTTATCCTCTTCCTTTCTACATTCCCTTCACAACCTAACAGTCATTTCACCAAGGAGGGCACATGCTTTTCCACACTGCCACACGGCTTCAGTAAGAATGCCTGCTACTCAGAAAAGTATGCAGTGACACAAAAACCTTGTATCACTGGTCTTCAGGTTCCTTTGCCAGTGAAAAGGACTCTTGAAATGATAGTTCCTCTGTGGCCCCTTTTTGCATAACTCACCAGCTGATTTACATAAGGGTCCCCAGGATGTTCTGTGTGTAGCGATGGTTTCACCAGTCTTCAGGGATCGAACTGTTTGGCATCTCTGAAACAATGAGTTTAAACTCCAACAAGTAATACAGCTTACTAATTAAAAATGCAAAGTCTTCTGATAAGTATATGAAAGCCTGGTGCTATTTTCACTCATTGGGTTTTTCTATTTCTTAGCTTTATGCTTTATTAAACTGAAATGAGCACCAAATGGAAGTTCAAAATAAATGGCACTACAGAAACATCAGTACAAAATCCGTAATTAGTCATTCAGGAAAACACTGCTGTGAACAGAGGTTTCACACAGACAGTGTCTTTTCATTAACTTTCTGTTTGTTTCTAGAAAAAAACCTTATGGGAGAATGAATTTCTCACTATTTCTGTATACCAGGGTTTTGCAAACATTTTTGTTTGGATGCTTCTACTGCCCACGGCAGGCAGAGCAGGTAATACAACCAGCACCAGCAAAAGCAGCAACAAGCTGCATGTCATTTTGAAGCAACACACAACTCTTCAGTGACATGTGAACTACTAATCTGGGAACTATTGGCGTGAAACATTGCTGATTAGCTGCTTTCGCTTTGTGTGAGCAGCACTTTCAGAACACACAGCACGCTCCTCTTCTGCATGTTTCCTCAGTAGCACCCTTAATTTGGTTGCTACTTTTTAAAGTTGCAACCTAATGGTCTCTGATGGGAACTGTAGCCTGTTGAGTTTATTCAAAAGATACTGTGGCTCTCCTGGAAGTGCCTATAAATCCAGAGAAACTGCTGCACCATACTATAATCAGCAAAAGAAAGCAGCAAAGTGCAAGAAGGTTTTACCAGCTTGTCTACATAACAATGTCTCACCAGTGTTACCAGCCTGGTTACATTGAAAAAACTCTACAATAAACTGTCAGCAACAGTGTCTTTAGCTTGGTCGGCTCCCAGAAAAATTCCCATGTAGCTGCAGTTCTGATCTATTCCACCAATAGCTTTCCCAGCTAGGCGGGTCAACTGGAGAATAGTTATATCGTCACTCCCCAGTGTCAATGATTTTTTGGATCCAGGCAGCCATGGTGCAGCCATGACAGACAAACAGTGGTGGCACATCACTTCTCTTCCCATTCAAAATTGTGGGTCTTACTCTTTTCTCACTACATTGCTCCCCAGCCTGTCTATTTTTTTCCACTCTAAACTTTAGAGCACATGGCTTTCTTCTATCAAAAAACCAAGGTATAAAGAGGCCTGGCAAGAAAAAATAATACGTAAGAAGAATACATAAGAAGAAATAAGATGTAAGTCTCGCTTTGTGGGCAAAGAACTGAAGAAAATCTGCCCTGAAGCAAGTCAGTATTCTCCAGAGTAGCAGACAGATCAGAAGATCAGATCCTAGACCCTGGGTGCTTCCCCAGCCGTCTTAACATTATTTCCAAATATACTTTGTTCTTACTCCAGTTTTCCTTGATTTTTTCACCTCCTGCAGCTTCCCCTCCCCAAATTGCTGTCCTTTGTAGATGTGCCTAGCACTTGTCTTCTCCACATAACATTTTCATCGCAGTCTGAGATACTGAATTCACTAACTTTTCATAGGGGGTAAATTTTGCATAGGACAAAGAACAATATAACATATATATATGAATAATATAGAAATATAGAATATATGGAAGAAGAGGGCCTCACTAATTAACTCTGCTGTGCTTTTTTTTACTGCAGATATCAATGTCAATCAAAGCTCATCTTGGGCTAGCAGAATTACCCCCATCACAGAACCCTGTAAATCAGATCAAAGCCACTCTTTTAGTTAGCTTTGTTCCTAAACTCTAATCCATACAGCTAAAGCTTGCTCTAACAGCAAACCCAGTGGCTCATAGCAAAGCAACCATTTGATTCCTTATAGCAGCCACACCAGCCCCTGCAGTCCCTGTCCTGTCCTCTTATTCTCCTACCTTACACCCACCACCATGACCCGCCTCAGCTGACCAGGACACACAGTGAACTCAGGGAGAGCACCACATCTACCAAAGGAGGGCATAAGCTCGAGATTGCTGAAGATTTTTAGCATGCAAATTCAGCTGTGACAATTTGAGTCATCTTTCTATCTGTCAGTCATGTTTCCTGTTCTTACTTGTTTTTTAAAAATCTGGAGGAAGCTTTATACTTTAAGAAAGGAAACATGTACCTGCTGCTAGCCACTTTTAATCTTTTAGGAAGAAAACATTTGCTTTGTAATGGTCTTAAACTGATCTATTTAGAGCCAGAGGAAAGTGTTAAACAATGGAAGAACACCAAACTGCTAATGAAAACATCCTTGAGAGAAAAAGAGCCAGGAAGATTGGCAGAGGGAAAGGAGAATTCCTGTGTGTCTTCTATAATTAAAAAAAAAAAAAAAAAAAAAAAAAAATAAATTAAAAGCCATCAACAAAATGTGAGGGGTTTTTTTCTTATTTCTATGGTAGTAACACATTTTTAGATGAAGCAGTGTGCATCAGAAGTAAAAAGAAACAAAGCAATGTTTTAGAGCACGCAGATACTGAAGTTGTTATCAGAACATTGCTTGCTTTATTGCTTTAAAAAGCAATAAGGCTTCAAAAAGTCATAATAAAATTTATTAGAGTCACAGCCCTGGAAACTTAATGCCACTGAGCTTCCTTTCCTGGGACCTAAACTCTCACCTGGAGAAGCAAATATCTGTGGAGTTGGGGGAAGAACAGAAAAACATCCCAAATCAATTTACTCAGACTTCCCTGCTGACACTGCCAATATACGTGCTCACTTTTTTATGTCATGAACATGTGAGCTGACACATTTCTGAACAGCTTATCTCCTTGTGACAGCTGTTCATTGCCTTCTAGCCACTCCTATACAGAGGTGAAAGGTTTAGTTCTCAGGTTCCCAAATTTTTGTTTCCCTTTTCCTGTGCAAGCTCCATATTTTCAACTACAAGGATGAGGAAGGGGAAGAGAGGTGGACACATCCATATGGTTGTAGTTTTTCCCCACTTCTTTCTGCTATCAGCAGAGAGAGAAGAAAAACTTCAAGAGCTGTTTTAAACCTTGTTTGGAAACATTACTCTTTCAATTCCATAGCAGGACTGCATATGGCCCATCAGAGAAAAATAGCATGTTGGAGCAAAACACTTACGGTCCTGCAGGTGCTTCCTGGTGTCTCCATACAAATACGAATTTTGCAATGCAAGTAAACCACAGAATTGTTGACAAAGGAAAAAATTTTCATCTTAAACTGTGCTTTGCTTGAATTCCCATTCTCTAGCAGTGTGGTAAACGTATTTGGGATGGGACAGCTGAAAAGGAAGAGAAAAAAACATACATAGCAGCTAGGGCTATAGAAGGCATGTTGTGGTTCTAGCACATAACTCAGGTTGTAGTGCTCCTTTAGAAAGTTACAGCCAGACCCTCCATGAAGCAACTCTCCAGCAGAGCTGATAGGATTTAAACTTGGCTTCACCAAACACAAATTGAAAAAACATCATATTATTTTCATATCAATAGCTTTTGTCACTGAGTGAAAGGACTGTATTTTAGGGTGGTGGGTAAGCCCAAGGAATATGACAACAGGGTGAGTTCAGGGAATCAGACAGGAACAAACCTCTTCTACTAGACACTGCATCAATATTGTGTGTAAGTCACAACACATAGGAATCAGCTAACCTACACCTTCATTGATGAGAGTCATGTGAGTCCTTGGTAGTATTTGAACCACAGAAAAACAGAAAAAGCACACACCTTTCAATGTTCTTTCACTAGTGACTGCCCAAACTACATATTACTTCATATTAAAAGTACAATTTCTTTACAAAACTAAGGGGAAGACAAACTCAGACAACTACCACAGGACCCTTTGAAAGCCTTTTCTTTTCATACCTGCCTTCCCTATTCAAAGCAGTTATGACCCGTCAGAATGATAAGGCATGGAATATATGAATGATGAGAACACACATAAAAGGCACTTAAAATATGACAAACTAATAATCAGTGCCATTGAAGGTATGGCACCATGATCTTTACAAGTGGCATTGCTGTACCTGTTGCTGATAAAAGTAAATGAGAGGGCATCCACTGAATTATTAGTTGGAGTTGCCCAGCAGTTGGTGAGGACCACCTTGAGTTTGCTGTCTGCTCTCTGGATGCCCACTTCAATCAGTACATCATCACTGGCAGAGACACTGAAATTTTTTGGTATTGGGGAGTTTCCAATAAACAACTGCATTTCTGTTCTGAAGTGTCCAGATCCATGTAAATCCTCAAAGATGGTATAAAGTCTGAAACAAAAATTAACCTCCTTTAAAGACCACGAATTTGTCTGTGTGTTTCTATAAATCAGTGCCTGTTTCTCCACCTCTTGCACAACGAAGTAGTGAAGAGTTATCTGCAGTCAAGGCTGTTAGGACACTTTTCAAGAAGAAAGGGTGAAAATGGATTGATTTTTTTTGTTGGGAAGGTAGGGTGCATGGAAATTCAAATGGGAAAATCCAAAGAGTGGAATGTCTTGGCAATGCAAACAGAGTAGAGACCAAGATTTGAGTGGAGAAGAAGGGTATAGAGGCTATGAGCTATCTTAAAGTTCAGAAAGAGGAGAGTAAGAGCTCAGTGAAGCATAGAAAAAAAAAAAAAAAGAAAAAGAGAAGGAAGAGACAAATCTGGACAATAAGTGAAGGATTTGAGATATTACAGAGCACAGAAAGAAAGTGTCTGACAAAGATGTTGCAAGAGGATAGAAAGGTAAATATAATGTCTGGGGGGTTAGAGAGAAAAGTGGACTTGGTGGTGATAGATCAAGCACGGTGCTAGGCAAGAGAGAGGACTTGTATGAAGGGAGGACATTCACCATCAGAGGAAAACTTGTGTTACCACCTTTTCTGTGAGTGTGGGTTTGATTTTCTGTTGAACAGTGGATTTGGTTCCATCTTTACTTGAAGATGGGGCCTTCCATAAAAAAAAAAAAAAAGTATTTGCATTACATACGTCTTCTCTTTTTTCCAAGCTGATCAAATAAGGATCTGTGGGGGTTAAAAATTGCCATCCTCAGCACCCACATTATAGCCTGCTTGCCTGCATCAGTTGAAAAGATATATCATTATGTTACAAAAGCAGGAAAAGGCTGTTATTGCTATAAGTGGCTGCCCAGGAAGGCAAAGAGAAGTCAGGAATTCTGGCTCCCAAACCTGCACCAATACTCCCAAAGGCTTATTTTCATCTATGGTTTATTCAGTCAATGGCTAATCTTATTAACTGTTAGACCTATTGACACATTAGATGGAGCAGGAGAAAAGCCCATAGCAGGGATCACCTGAGCACAGGACTTGGAGGATGGCAGGCTACTTAGCATAGCAAGTACTGTGACTGGATACAGCTAAGGTCTCTGGGGATTTTTCCAGTGCAGAAGCACTCAGTCACACAACAGCATTTCAGAGCAGAGAGGGTCGTTACTTACCCTTCTGCTGTGTACCCAGAGGAAGTCAAGAGATCATTTTGAAACACACAGTGAATGGGACTGGCAACTTTCAAGTGGTGGATTACTCCCTGAGTAGAATTGTCATTCCGAAGGATGGTTTTCACCACGGTATTAGTAATGTTCTGCAACACAGAAAGAAGAAAGTGCAACTTGTGATCAACAGTGTTTCTAGGGATATAGCAGAGCTAGTTACCCAGTTCAACTGCTTAGATATTCTCCCTTCTCCTGGCTGAAAAAAAAAAACAGATTAAACCTCTGTTATCTTAGTTGCTGTACAGTGACACAATGAAAATTCGTCACCCTTCCTCCTCTTCCTTAGTCTGTAATGATCATTGCTCCACAAGGGAATTTCTGTACTTCAGCATGGCCTGAGCATAGCCTTTGGTTTGGGATCCAAAGAGATAGCCATCACTCTCCGTCCCTACTACTGGTAACAATCAGAACATTTGTCTAAATACGATGATGAAATTGCTTTTAAGAAAACAGAAGCTTCTGTCAGCTGCAAAGGGAAACTAGAGAGGCACTGGAAGTGTCTCTCAGTTTGGAGAGACCTTTGACTTTTGCTGCCTGACCTAAAAGATTCCCCTTTGCTTTCTTGCTTGCCCCCACCCCAAACAGAGAGGTGACTTGCCATCACAAGAAGGTTCTTTTCTCCAAAGAAATTTCTTAGTCCAACGTTTCAAAAACTAACACACTGTACTGCTACCTAGGGAACTGTCATTGCCCCTCCCTTCATCCCCCCAGGAGGAAAAAAACACTGTTTGAGGGCTTCTTTGCATTCACTAGTTCAGGGAACTTACAGTCTCAACTTTAGTGCCACAGTCACTCCAGTCTGCCTGCAGCACAATGTGAGTGTCATTGCTCATGGTCACATTGCAGTGAGGCTCTCCCAGGTACAGGGAGGTTTCAGGGATGGACTCCTGCTGTAAAAATCTCTTCTGGATGGCAAGGATGATCTTCTCGATTTCACAAAACACTGTCACTGCATCTTTAATGGAAACCTTCTGGAGTGGTTTAATGAGAGAGGCAGGAGATGCATGAGGAGAAATACCAGGAGTTGACACAGGATCCATGGTGAGAGGAGACAGAACCACGCTGGAGAATGTCTTGTCCTCCAGAGCTTTGTGCTCAGTAGTAGAAAAATTCAGTGAAGTAGGGGAGGAAACACGAGCTGAAGTTTGCAAAGATGTCACAGGTAAAACAGTGTTGTGTACAAGTTTCTCATCCGTCACTGTTGCCTTCTGGATGACAGGAAATGCTGAAGAGTGCCAAAAAACAAAGGTGCTGTTGTAACTGGTAGACTCAAATTGATTTCATAAGGTAGAGGAAAACTCTTAGGAGGAAGCTCACGGTTACTGGAAGGAAACTAGCTTCTTTTGTTTTTTAAACTCACTGTACTTACTGCCAAAGCTGTGGCTTTTTTTAAGCATAAGCCCAGGAGATGCATAAAAGGCCTGTGAGTAAAGCTGAAGTGCTTATTTCCTGAAGAGCCTCAGTAATTAGTGTGCTCAAGTAAAACATGTATAGACAGTTTCTGGAAGATCAGTGATTACAAGAGATCCCCAACTGTAAGTTGCTCAGCAAGTGTTCATATATTATTGCCTAATACTATAGGAGACTGCACAATTCTGGATGTGGAGTATAAACAGGAGCAGAGTTTGTTAAAAAAACTTGCCCCATTTGTGACCAGTTGGTACCCAAAAAATATGACCCTTACTGCTTTGGAATACCCATTCTGGGAGAAGTTCAGGAGAAACCTCATGTAGCGGCACCACGCTGCACATATGTGTTCTGAGAGACACAGTGGGGAGTTGAACAAATGTGTTAGTAGCAATCTTTAATGGTTTCAGGAAGAAAGCAAGCAGAGGAAAAGGGGAAGCACAGGTTGAGATCAACATGTACGTCAAACACCTGGCATACAGCACAAGCTCTGGGGTTACCCCATGGCTCTTTGCTGGTAGAAACTACCTAAGTATTCATCCACCACTGTCTTAGAAAGCACCAAGATAATAAACTCCATTTACACTGAAACACAAAAGATGTGTCTCATCACACAAAAATTCTCATAAATAATTTTAATTGGTTGTACATATAAACAGAATCTATTTCCCAAGCCACATATAAAATCTGTACATATCTCTCTATCTCTCTCTCTCGCTCCTTCTGGAACTCCCCAGCTTTCAGAAATGCCTTAAATTGAAAGGTTGATGATTTGAACATAAGAGGAAGAAAAAGAAAAGTCTAAGCTCTTTCAGAGCTGAATTTGCCAAAAGCTCATTATCATAATGCTAAATATCTTGGTTAAACAAAACTGACCAAAGGTTAGTATCAGTTGCCAAATCCTTGTGACTTCAGCCAAACAGTAGCTTATCACTGTGGTTACAAAAACAAATATAATTTACTGAAGAAGCATAAAAGAATTTAGGAGCTTAAAGACTCATCATACACCAACTAATAAAGGAAAGAGCGAAGCTAAATGGATTGACTCACACAAAAAAGTAGTTTGCAATATCATAATTTCCCATAAAGAGGTCAAACCACATACCTAGTGCTTTTTGTTACCTTCTCTATTATCTCTGCTGTCCTCTTTGCTACTGCTAATGAAAATAACTAACAATCTTGACAATCCTATCTAATTTTAATGGCAAATAAGAGAAAATAGATCTGTTAGAAGAACCTTACAAAGACAGCATTTAATATTAATGTAATAAACTCTCATGACAGACCATTGCAGGCAGAAATACTTAAACTCCACTGCAAGACTTTTCCCATTAGTATCTAGCTGAAAACAACAAACCAGTTAATCCCTGGCAAAATTTCAAGACCTGTGGCCAGTGTGACTGTGATCCAGTAAAGATGAGATCATTAAATGTTCAGTTAGCTATTAGATAATTTTAAAAAATTTTGCCTTCACAGCTTCTTCCCGGCTTTTCTGGGTGCACATCAGCAAATCCTTCATTACAGCTGCACTGGTAAAACCCAAGTGTGTTGTGGCATGATGCATCCAGGGAGCAGTCATCTTCTTTGCTTTTGCATTCGTCATAATCTGTTGAGTATATTTAAGCAAAAGGCAAAGGTGTAGAGTGTATAATGAAAATGTGATGGCTCAGAAACTGCAGCACAGTTGTATCACCACGATATCACAGTGGGATTACAGCTCTTCAGTGGGATATGTTATTTTACATGTCAGGCAGATGATGAGTCTAGAAGAGGTGTGATACTAGAAGCGCAGCATAGAGGGCTACTGCAAGACACTGACAAAACCTCCAGGAGCTGTCCTACCAATCATGTTCAGTAGATGCTCACTGAAATCTCACTTATGCGTGGGTCATAACAACCCTGTGCAACACTACAGGCTTGGAGAAGAGTGGATGGAAAGCTGCAGAGCAGAAAATGACCAGAGGCTGTTGGTCGACAGCCAGCTGAATATGAGCCAGCAGTGTGCCCGGGTGGCCAAGAAGGCCAACAGCATCCTGGCTTGTATCAGAAACAATGGGGCCAGCAGGACTAGGGAAGTGATTGTCACCCTGTACTCTGCACTGGTGAGGCCACATCTCAAATGCTGTGTTCAGTTTTGGGCCCCTCACTACAAGAAGGACATTGAGGTGCTGGAGCTTGTCCAAAGAAGGGCAACAAAGCTGGTGAAGTGTCTACAGCACAAGTCTTATGAGGAGCAGCTGAGGGAACTGGGGTGGTTCATTTGGGAGAAAAGGAGGCTGAGGGAAGACCTCATGAATCTCTACAACTACCTGAAAGAGGTTGTAGCAAGGTGAAAGTTAGACCCTTTTCCAAGGTAGCAAGTGATAGGATGAGAGGAAATGGACTCATGGGAGATTTAGATTAGGTAAATTTGGTATTTTTTTCAGAGATGACACATCGACTTGTGAAATAAAATTCAACAGCAGGTAACCAGGAGACTAATGTTTCTTGTTACCAACCTAACTTACGTATAAAGGCAAAGGAGTTGTACGATCAGCCATTGTGCTGGTCTTGGTAAAGTGTGGACTTTCACCTGGACTCCTGACCCACAGGTGCGTGTGGAAAACACATACTCCCAGTGCAGAAGTATTCACATGTTCATTTATTTGTTTCTTGAGGTTTCCATCTCATGCAAAATTGTCAGTGCAAAGCAGAGGGTAGTGTGTTTCAAAATTATTTTAAACAGAGCTAGTTACATCTGTGTATAGGGACCTATTTCCACTGGTAATCTGTAAAATCCTCACTTTGTGACCATTGTTTCTCACATCTCCACATCTTCTTCTCTAAAAACTTAATGCTAGCTACAGACAAAAAGACCACATGATTTGTCCTTTAGAATCGGGAGTACCTCACTTCTTATTTCATCTTTGATGTTCTCTGAAAAAGCCTATTGCATGGATAAGCAGGAGCAATACAAGGAGAAAGAATGGCTTTTCATCCATCTGATATATAGATACTTTCACGTCAAAAAGTACAGGTTCATAATAGTATTAGGCTTTATCAACTTTCTAGTTCTGAAGGACAAGCTGCTCCTTACCGTTTATGGAGAGACTGCTTTTGTCAACTCTGAAATAGGAGTTGTGTTCAAAGGCATGACGGAAAGTGGTGATGATGGAGTAGATATCCACATCTTCTGCAACCAGTAAATTGAAACTTACCACTGTGCTCCCATTAGTAATACCCATTATCAGCACTTTAACCAGACCAGCATCCATCTGCTGAAAAACCTCAAGGGGCAGAGATTTATGTACCTGGAATGAAAACAAAACTCATGTGGAAATGGACAGATAAAAGCAATTATGTTTTAGGTTTTGTACGCTGCCCAGAAGGGAGCACTATGCATTACAACTGTGCTTCATACTCTGGAGGGAAGCTGCAGGAAACTGACTTTTTGCTTTATAACATTTTCACTCTACAGCAGCTGAGGATATGGTGTATATGTATAACCATGAATATTATAAAAGCTAAGTGACTAAGATATCTCGTCTGTCATTTGTCATTGGTAACAGAAAGGGAGGGAAAAGGCTGCAGGAAAGCCCCGTGTTCTGCCTATTAAAATGACTCCAAGGAGAGCGTGCAACCCAATATGATTAGGAGCTGCCAATGGAAGTGGAGATGCCTCCAGACATTCCACGCTGCATATAGGTCTCAGAGGGCTTCCTCAGCTCAGGTACATTACAGCTTAGAGAAGACCACCTTCAAGCCTTTCTTCACAGATGATTTCTCACCAGAGACATGCAAATAATGCTTCTTTTAAATGCCTGGACCAGGGTAAAGAAAACAGAAAGGAGTTTCATTTCATCAGCACTGCCACAGAGTTCAACCTCCTGTCAAGCTAGTCTGCAGTCTGAGTTCAGAAATTTTTCCCTGAAGCCTTCCTTGAGGAGTATTATATTGTTTCTGCAAATTCTGACTGTCATCAGAGCATACAGCCCTGACTCACAGTCCTCCTCAAGGGTTCAAGAGCTGGACTAGGAAATGGCTCTGTGCTATTTCGAATAGGAACAGTCACCTTCAAAGTATTGCAGCACCAAATCATGGCTGAACCCAGGTCATTCTAGAGAAATCAATAAAATAAATATTCACAGTCTGTACGCAGTAACCTTGGACTTCACTAATGGCCTAGAAAAGAAAATGCCACCTTTTTCAAAGCACGCTGAGCCTTAGTCATGATAGCCCCATGAAGCTGCCTCCTTTACCACACTAGAGTGCAGGATGGCCAGCTTTCTGTGGGATGAGAAAACACAGTCCTGTGTGAGGCTTTGCATCAGTGGGGCTGCTGAGGGTCTCCAGCATCCAGCTCAGATAGAGGCACCATCCCTTTTTGAAGAGATAGACAGACTGGAGCTGTATGTTCAACCTCTTCCCTTTCCACCCTCCAAGGCTGGGTACCTCTGGAAGGCAGCCACCCATGAGAACATCTCCTCCTTCCCCCACAGGAGAAAAGTCTATGGAGTAGGGTACGTGGACGTATGCAGGATCACTGAGGGGTTGTACAAGAACATTTGCATTTACAGCACCATTCCCCTTCATATATCCAGGCCCAGCACCAGCTGCAGGAGGAGCAGACACGAGTCATAGAATCATAGAATCACCATGGTTGGAAAGGACCTCTAGGATCATCAAGCCCAACCTTCCTCTCAACATTTCCCTAACCACTAGACCGCAGCCTCAAGTGCTAGATCTACTCATTTTTTGAACCCCCCGAGGGATGATGACTCCACCATCTCCCTGGGAAGCCTGTTCCAGCACCTAACCATTCTCTCAGTGAAGAAGTTCTTCCTAATATCCCATTGAAACCTCCCCTGGTGCAACTTGAAGCCATTTCCTCTAATCTTATCATCAGTAATTTGGGAGAAGAGACCAACACCACCCAACAATGTCCTGAATTTTTCCAATAGAATTTTTTAGAATTTTAGAATTTCCATTAGAATATTTTATTCTTTCTTTTTCTCCAGGAGATGCTCATAGATCCTCTGTGTTTCTTAATATCTCTCATGTGTGCCTGGGAAGTCTTTTTACATTCTTCCACGCTTACAAACAGAAAGTGTGGCAACAGAAACTGTGGGACGTAACTTTCAAGCCTGCATCAGGGAGGTAGTAAAGATTGTTCTGAGCTATTGATATGAAAATTGCACTTAGAAACTGCCAAAAGCAGTGCAACAGGAGATTGTTGACAGTAAAAGAGCAGCTCCCTGCATTACATTAAGGACAAATCCCATGCCATCTCTGTCAACCGTCCTGAGCCTGGAATACACACAGCCTACTCGTACATAGCAGCCACTAGCTTCAATGAAGGACACAGAGAGATAGAAACAGCCAGAGAAACACCTAAAATTTTGTGATTTCTCAGCATACTTGCTCTTTGCCTTCACCCTCCAGTGGCTGTCAGGCTCCTAGGAGATGCCAACAGAGAGGAAGGCACAGAGCAGCAGAGCAAACGCACCATAAGGGGCAGATGAGGGGCACTTGGCCCAGGTGACAGCTGCTGGCACGCTGCTGCCCTGAGCAGGAGAGCTGCACCTCTTTGCTTTAGCCCATATCTTTGGGGTACATGCTCACTTCCTTCCCTAGGTAAAATTTCCCAAGAATTAAGGGGGTGGGTGGGGCCTATGTTGTGGTCACCTTTCAACCCCTTTTCCTCTACATGTCTTCTGCAGGAAATACCTGGAGCAGCACAGGCTGGAGTTCAGCCATGAGTCTGAGGCAGAGCTTATGCCAGTGGAGTAATGCTCAAGGGTGCAGGCAGTGACTCCTACCGGGAGAGCCTAGAGAAGAGGCAAGGCAAGGGTCAGCAATGAGAGCCAACAGGAGGAGCAGCCTCATTTCTCTTGCACCCGCACACTCAGCTTATGAAGTTCTTGCTCGATTTTCCCAGGGGTTTGCAGCTTCTGCACACCTATGTTTCAAGCCTCACCTACCTGCCCGCTGTGTGTTACCCAGTCCTGACTTGCTTGCTGTGTATTATTCAGCCCTGCAGACAGGTTCTGCAGGCGTGAGAGCCCTCTTCTGAGTTATCAGAGCTGATGTGTGTTGCATGCACTCGGTGGCAAGGTTACCCTGCATGGAGCCAGCCCCCTGTGTGAACCTGGAAAGGGCTCTACACACCTGGAAGTCCTACACAGCAAATCTTGCAGTGCCCCAGAGGGCACGCAGGCAGAACTGGGAGAAAGGAAAGAGCGAAGTTCCTTATGAAAGCTTAAGCAGACCATAGGCTGCCCTTGTCAGCCCCAAAATCTCTCGTTTCACCAAGTCAGGGGACCCTCAGGCCCCCTCTGCTCTGTCTTTCAGCAATTTCACAAGTATGCACTGAAAAGCTGGAAGTCAGCCTTAGGTTATTATCTTTCATAGTTTTTGTCTGAACTTCTGGAGATTAAATACACACACGACATCCTATTAGTTCATCTCCGATTTCACCTGTATTCCCTTGTCATCGACCCTGAATATTTTATTTTATCAATTCTTATTTTTACCTAAGGCTAGGGAATTTTTTTTGTCTCTACTTTTTTGTCTGTTTGTTTTATTTCTGTCCTTATTCGTAGTTCTCCTCACAAAGGACTCAGAGCTTTGTCAGGGGACATTCACAGTATTGGTATTTAGCCACTAGGTGACACTACAAAACACTTTATCCAGAAGCCTACATGATTTCACAAGTACCACGCCCTAGGTTATCAAAATAATGGTTGATGAAGTGGAGCTAGAAAAGAAGAAAAAGAAAGAGTGAACATTTTAGAAGGAAATATTCAATATATAGTATCTTTGTCTAAGAGTTTTTCGTACAAACAAAGAAATTACATTGGGATCCATTGTTGTGTCTACAATTTCTGTAGCACACAAAGGAAACTTTAGTGATGCCAGTTCAGGAGAAAACAGTGTGCCAGAAGAAGAGACACAAGAAAGGAAGAGAACATGAGGAAAACTAACAACAGCATCAAGGGAAGGGAATGTTCCTTGCTCAGTCAAAACAAACAGAAGGCAGATAAAGTCCAAGTTCAGGGCCACACAGAAGCCACACTAAGATTAATTTAACAGGATAGTCAAGGCCAGTAAATTTTTTGAGCAAAAGGAAAGTAGCAGACGCAGGCAGCCAGGCTCACCCCGTGGGTGGCTGTGGCTGATGGATTTTCTAGCACCACCCATCCATAGGTCCCAGGCAAAACGTCAGCAGCTCATTGGAGATATTGTGGGTACTTCATGGAAGCCTGCGTGGCCAGCAGAGCAGGGAATGTGCTGGCACTCTAGAAACTGAAAGTAAGTAGAAGGTTCTTTAATTTGAACAGAACCCCGCATGAAGCCTGGTTTTTGTTTGGGTTTGGGGTTTTTTGTTTGTTTGTTTGTTTGTTTGTTTTCATTTAAAGACTAAAAATAACCCTCCCCACTGTCCGTACTTTGGCTGCACCTTCAGAGAGAAGGTACTAGAGCACACATCTGCTCAGAAGCTCTAAGAGTGTCCCAAACTGCAGATAAATAACAAAAGAGGTGAAATTACATCGGAATAACAAAACCACCTTAGTCCCTGCACCAACACTCATTCCACATTCAGATAGCTTTAACACAATCATTTTAAGGGTGTTAAGTTACATCAAACTAAGGCTGTGTCACTTCCCAATGAAGGGGTCACCTTGTTAAGGGAATATAATTTGTTAGTTTCACACATTTCATCAATCAGTTAAGTTTAAGAAAACCAAATTCAATACCACCTTTTCCACTCAGGAATTTAATGCATCTCGGTAAATACATTTTCAAATCAAGCCTTTTGTTTTCCTGATCAATTTTCTTGAGGTCAAGCCCTAGCTGTCATGATATTCTTTTTGGCCATTGCAAAAGACGGGCTCAGCAAAACTAAAGGGTAAAATACTCTTTTGCCTGTAGCTATGTTGGTTTTCAGTTGCATGGCAAGGATGGTGAAACTAGCCTGGACAATGACAGTGCAAGTTGTCATATCAAGTTTATAGCTCATTCTCATCTAGACATTATTTAAAGGATGATATTTCCATTTGCTGTGCTACCAGTTTAACCACATGGCAATTAAGTGCTAGTGTAGCCCTATGCTAAAGGACATTATATACATTAGGATTATTAATCCTCTGAATTGTAGATGGTGACTCCAAAAAGACCATAAAAGAAAAATCTCTGGCAAAGTTTATTTAACTGGGACCTGATAGTGCTTTTAAACCCATTAAACTTTTCTCACTTACTTTAAAGGATCAATTTCTGGCCCTTATTACCTAAAAAGAAAATATGCAGATCTTTCTATTCTCCTAAACTTTATTTTCTTTGGCATCTAAAGACACAACGTTTGTGGTAAAACTCAGACAACATATTTTGCCATATACAGTAGCTATGCAACTATAACCTATAGAAAGCGGCTCAGAGGTAGATGGAATCAACACTAACACACTTTGCCAGCTGATCCACAAAAACGGTCTGCTGCAAAAAAAAGAGTTAGTTCCTTATCATCACATGAGGTAATTTTCTGCCTGAAATTTTGACAACTGGGTAAAAAATTAGATAAAAACCTACTTTAGTTCTTTTATGTAATCATTTTACAAGTTTTGCAAATATATTTGTATATGTGATTTTCTAGGTTAAGGTATCTGACTGAATGAAGAAAAAAATTTATATGTTTCAGTCCATTTTAATACTGTGCTATTCCAAAATAGCCTCAGGCAGAGAGTGATGCTGAATTGAGAGTGAGGTCAGTGGGGAATTGCTCCCTTTTCACTTTGCTTATCACATCACTTTCATTTTGTGACTGTTTTTCTGATGTGACAGCTTGGGGCCAAAACAACTCTGAGAAAGCTGTACTCCGTTAACACCTCCAAAAAGGTGCAAACCAGTAATGACCAGTGAGAAATTTATTCACTACTGAAGAAAACATCAGACACAGCTAAATGGATCATGTTTTTCCCTCCTTGCAGTTGTCTCTAACCCCACATTGGCCTGACCTTTGCCTGACCACACACTGTTGCCTGCACCCACTGCAGCCATAAGGTGCTATGACAAAGGGTAATAATGATCATACAGTTCATTAATATACTGCTGTGCTGGGCAAGGATATCAGAGGACTTTGCAAATATCTGTTAAGAGAATTCCCAAATCCTGACCTCAGTCTAAACCACAGCTGCATGCTTGTCCTGCACTCTCAGACACTCAGGAGAATCCACACCTTACAGATGTGTCAAAGGATGCACATGTGGCATACAGCCTTCATGGGAAGAAGCTTGTACATGTGGTTTCATTGAGACTGGTAACAGGTCATGTCCTTCTTAGCCACTTACTTCATCAACAAAGAGCTGTGAAAAGTTTTGGTATTCCTCACTGCTTGTATTGCTAAAGCCCGGAGAGTATTTCACATTTGTTATCCGTACTGTGCCACTAAGTTTCTGGACAGCTGCAAAGTAAGAAAAAGACAATTTAAATACATCTTCCATGGACCTTAGTCTATGGACAAGTGTGGTACAGTCACTGGTATGCCTGGCAACAAGGGGTATGCATCAACTCGTAACCGCAGTAAGGGCAGCTCTCTGAAATATAGCCAACACCCGAATGCCTAAACAGCCATCCAAAACCTTAGTCTGCCCTCTCTGACACCTAGATGACTCTTAGGAAGAGTACTGAACTCCTGTAGGTCTTGTATCTTCTCTCTCTGTCTTAGATGCTCAGGGCCATATGAAAAGTTGCTCTGTAGCTAAGTTCAGGCACCTGAATTGCTCTCCTAGACTCAGCTAGCTGTCCCATGTCCCTCTACATGCAACAGAGCAACACCAGTCCCTCCAGAGAGCAAGTCATTGTAGCACCAAGGTCCTCCCTCCAACCTCAGAGGAAGGCTAGGCAGCTGCTGGGGGTTGGACATCCACAGGTTAGACAGCTATTGTAAGATAAGATGAACCTCCACAGGGTGTATGCTTCCTCCCTGAAGTTGTATCTGCTGGATCACATTAAGACAGTCTCAAATGTTTTAGGCTGTTTCTCACTGTCACTGTTTTTGGCACTGTTACTACAAGTTACCAGTCTTTACTTTCTGATGTACGGTTTGCTTTCCTCCCTACACACATCTGTCCTGATTTCAGCAGTATATGAGGCACCAGGTTCCAGCTCTGAGACTGTCAGACTCCTGTACTGAGTTTTAGTCTCCCATATCAGCTGCTATTTCTGTAACAGCAAGAACTGAAAAGCAGGGCTCTGCATAAACTCCTTGGACCATGTTACATCAAAGTTGGTTCTAGTCACATTGGCAACAACGATCCTTTAAACTGAGACAGGTACTAGAGGAAAAGAAACAGTCATCATGTAAAGCTTTGCAGGGGAAAGGAGAAAGTCGTGCCTGCTTAAAGCAAGCCACCAAAGCAGACTTCCACCATCTCAGCATACTTACTTCCAATCCCAAAAGGACCTTCACCACCACTGGTCAGATAAAGGATCTGGCCTTGCTTTTTGCTATGGCTTATCCTGTCATGTGAACATAGGTATTTAGGAGATAAACCACATCCAATTATCTGATGGTGAGAGGGAAAAATGTGCTGAACAATTTTTGAACAGAAAACAAAACAAAACAAAAACTATTTAAAAGACATGGCAGACTGCAAAGGGTTGGCTGAGGTTGGCCAACCCAGGTCAGAGATGTTGCCACAAGGAGGAGCTACATATTAAACTTCATGAAACATTTGTCCTCTAAGTTTCGTGCCCCGGGCTAGTGAGATATCACTAAGGTGGCTCTTCCTGTTGTTCACCAGGCATAATCCCTTCACAAGCTTCTTTCCCAGCAAAAGCACTTGGCTGGATATTTGATTCATCAGGAAAAGAAAACAAGTTTTTTTTAAAAACTGAACTTGTTTGTGCAGAATTTTGCAATTTGTTTTCCAGCGGGAAGAAAACGACCTTTGTCTTTTTGACAGTTAAAATTAGCTCTTTTGATTTATTTTTTTTTAAATGAATGTTTATTTTTTTCATTTAAGGAGAAGGGAAAAAAAAAGCAACACAATTTTTTCACTCTTCCCTAC